AAAAAGATATGTGCGTGTGGAGTGGTGCCAGGGGACAGAAATTTGGAAAAAGCTATTTGTACATTAGCTATTACATGACATTTGACAGGATGACGTGGCTGTTGAAAAAATTTAAACGAGACCGCCACATTATATAGACCAAAACCCGCATCCCTTGAATGGGTTAAACCGGTCCAAATTGAAAGTTACCAAAATTTACCTCATTTCCTTTTCTTTTTCCTTTGAGATTTGCATCCGTTTCCTGAGATTTGCCCGGCCCCAAAACCAACTGGTCGGAGTTGAATGTAAAACAAAATCGGACGATTCCTTTCCGACGCAAATGAACTTGTGGGAATTGAAAATCTTATGCTGCAGAACACGATCCATTGAATAAAGCGTCTCAATATTTCCCAGGCCGAAATAATGTCGGAAAATGGTATTATCCATTTGGGCAAATGTGTTCTTTGCTTGGACACAACTAGCCTATGCATGTAGTTGGTTTGGTTCGAAAGATTTCAAATTATTTTTTCTTTGCTATTTTTTGGTCTTCTATGTGTTTATTGGGTTTAGGGTCCAGGCCGATAATTTATTCTTTGCTATATTTTTCTGCATTTTTTATTTGCTATTTTTTGGGTTTGTACACATTGAAGAATCTGTAATATGGAAATACTGGTTTGCGAAAATTTCATAGAATATCTTGTTTGGTTCCTTCACATTAATGTGTGCTAGTATTCCTAAACTCATCTTTCCAAATAGGTGGACAAAATATTGTGCTTAACTATGAAGCATCATCTTGTATAAATCTAGAATGAGTTTTGTGAGAGTTTATGACAATTGAATTGTTAACTTGTTGCAGAGAAACAAATTGTGAAAGATTTTGGTGATGAGAATTTGATAGAATCCGAAAATGACAACTTGGTGGACAATTTGAACATATTGGATGATGATATATCAGGAATGGATGGTGTGATTGTCCCTGAGGTTTGGGATGAAGTTCAAGGATGAAAATTTCATCCCACCATCGTCAACAAATGTTGGAGTCGCTTCTCAAGGTATTACTATCATTTAAGGAAGTTTATACTTGACAGTCGTGAATTTATTTGTGTTCGGTTATTAACGTTCGTATTTGACAGTGATTAATGTGTTGCCAGATTTGTATCCACTTCTACCAGAGCAAAGTGGTCCAAACCGCTGAAATTAGATGACAAAAAGAGTGACTTCCAGATCGTTGGTTGTATATGTAATTTCAGAATGAAGTTGGTTGTATTTTTTGGGGATTTAACAATCTGCTGTTCGGATATATTGTTCCTTTGATGATTTTTGTAGTACATGAGAGATGATGACAGATTTTCTTTTAGATTTCAGATGGCCTTATGATTTAGTTGTTATTGATGCAAGAGGGCTATGTGATGCATTTCATTGTTAGTGTTCTACTTAGAAATTTTATTTTGCAGAGTGACAACTGATAAATTTATTATGAAAAAACCCACACGGGCCTCATCTTTGCTTAGCTATATAGTTGGCAATATTGCTTAATTTGTGACTTGCTTCAGGCTTCCACATATTATGGACTGATCGAAAGAGACTCAGTTCATCCATTTCTTGTCCACAATGACGTCTTTACTTAAATGTTGAAACGAGGGAATTATATTGATGTTTAACCTCAATACGAGTCAGCCACATCCAAATAAGATAACAAACACTAAGGTGAATCATCCACAATTTTTAGCTTCATTGTTCAATGCACAAGCCTTCACAAAATGGAGCCAACAACGTGTCCACCCAAAACACATAAACTAATCAATCAAGCTGAATTTTTACTGCAAGAAATTGTTTAGCTTCAATTGGCAATTAGTGCGCACATATAATGATTACGAAAGAAACGATCTAAACATTGCCAATATTTATACAGTCGTAAATTGTTAGCACTATAAAAATGCAACGTCGTTTAAACGAAGCCTAGATTCGAACATGCCAGTGACATCTGCAACTGAATCATTCGTTGAAATATTAGTTGACGTCACACTAGCTATACTTAATTCACCTTCTCCAACTCATTCCCAAAATCCGCATTTCCCACCACAGTATTTGAACAACTTGCCTTTGTTCTTAGTCTCCTTTTCCACCTCAAACCACTTTATGAACGCACGGTCACACCAAAGGCGTAAGCATTTCTTCGGGCAAGCTGCAAAGAAGTGTCCCTTATACCTACAGCTATGACACATTCCATGATTCTTTCCTTCCATTCTAAAATTTGAACCAACCACATTAATCTAAAATGTTACAAATTGTCTCACAGTTTATTTTCTCATGAACATCCAACAATTACTATGCTTGAAACGGCCAAAAAAATGAGAAATTACAGGCCACAAAAATTCACATAGCTGCCTCTCATGGATTATATTTGATGGCAAAATTACTTTTGGAAGAGGGGGCAAGTGTTTTCTCAAAGGACAGATAAATGCATTTCTTTTTCTCCTAGCATTCAAAATGCACACTTGTTTGCCTTAATTCCCAATTTTTGAACAATCCCGCAGAAAAAGAAAAATCAATATCCTTTCCTTGTCATTCAGAAAAGTTTACTGTTGTTCAACAATATTTGTATAGGGCTGATTTTGGACAGAAATCTTTCATTGCGAAAGTTGAAGTACCATATCATTATCGTCGGAGTTATTACAACCCTCTAAAGTCTAAACCCCATTAACACACCCAAATTACAAACACGGAAAACCTAGACAAACTTAGCTGCAAATTTCGCCGGAGAAGAGGTCCTCGGAGAAGAGATTTACGCACTAATGGCGATGTCGGCGAAGAATACCACGCTGTCGGTGAACGGGGGAAAAAACCAATTGCTGGGGGGAAAGCCAAGGAAAAAGCTGGTTAGGGTAATAAAGTTAGCGGNGCGATGTCGGCGAAGAATACCAAGCTGTCGGTGAACGGGGGAAAAAACCAATTGCTGGGGGGAAAACCAAGGAAAAAGCTGGTTAGGGTAATAAAGTTAGCGGGCAGGTTTCAAAAAATGGAAGCCTTTTGTTTTTCTTTTAAAATCAGCCGGTTTTCAAATTCTTTTAGAAATCGCCACGTCATCCTGTCATCCACGGTGTCAAGGTCGCTGTACATATAGCGCGGTCGAAAAATATGAGATTTTGCCACCTGTAATCTCTGTAAACTTGATGATATATCAGGTGATAAATATAGCATTCCTTAGGAGTAGGTGGGTAGGTTTATATTAGTGTAAGTCAATATAGCATTCCTTGGAAGGGGTAGGTGGGAAAGTCACCTAATCCACGGGTTTAGGAGGGTTTGCTTTATATTATTTCAATAACTTGACAAAATATACTGAAATTCATTTTTTCATTAAGGGCATAATGAGCAATTTGGTACAAAATTCAAAATGATGGACATATTTCAATTGACACAAAAAAAAAAAAAATGGACACTCTTGAAAATGCTCCTTAAAAGGTCAGTGTACGACTGGACAGTGCTCAGAGTCAAAATTACAAGGGAAAAGATAAAGAGACAAGGTTTGGGGACAGGGTTTGGTCCCCCTAGCAAAGCTCAAACTCCAACTCCAACTCCAACTCCAACTCCAACATGTCAGTGATGGGACAGTGGTAGGGTATGAAATTTATCGACAGTTAGCAGAGGTGTAGTTGGATTGGAATTTCATTTCCTCAGCAAAAGCTGAATTAATTGTGTTTTTTGTCCAAAAAAATATGAGATTTTGCCACCTGTAATCTCTGTAAACTTGATGATATATCAGGTGATAAATATAGCATTCCTTAGGAGTAGGTGGGTAGGTTTATATTAGTGTAAGTCAATATAGCATTCCTTGGAAGGGGTCGGTGGGAAAGTCACCTAATCCACGGGGTTAGGAGGGTTTGCTTGACAAAATAACTTGACAAAATATACTGAAANTTTCAATAACTTGACAAAATATACTGAAATTTTGTATATATAGGCAATAAAAAGAGATCGAGTTTGAATAATGGATTTATTGAAATTTTCGCTGATTACTGGGCAACCGAGCCAAAAAAACTCTATTTTTCCAAAATCTTTAATTTTTTACTTCAACTTTTTTTAACATTCTAGAATTTGTAAAAATAGCATTAAGGATCAAAGTCCTAATCCACCTTTCAAAATTGTCTCTAGGTCAAACTAAAACTTGAAGAGGATTGTGATCATGATCAAAACTTCATTCACTCAATTGTGATCATGATCAAACATTTTTCAATAAAATAATATTTTCCATCACATCAATAATTTTTCTTTTTTTTAACCACATATTCTTTATGACATCACTTCAAAATATTATTTTATTGAATAATTTGATGGAGAATATGTGGTTGAAAAAGAAAGAAAATGTATTGATGTGATGGAAGATATTATTTTATTGAAGAATGTGATTGAAAATGAATAGAAAAATGAGAATGAAAAAAATAATGTGGCTCAAACAAAGGCAAAACTTTCTTTCTACATGCTTTTGATTATAACATATTAATTATTAATTTATTAAATGCATTAGGATAGAAGAAAAATCAACGATGAGGAAATTTATTGAATGTGGAAGGAGATGAGAAAGACGGGTCATCACATTTCCCATTAATTGCCAACCAGAATTAATTCTTCTAGGGTCCCATTGTGAGATAAAAAGACAAAAAGAAGGCCTGCTTAGATTTGCAACCATAGGAAAATTTATTTAAATGAGCTAAAATTGGGAACAAACAGGCTGTACTCGTATCAAATCCAATTAAAATACTCGAGCATTTTTCGAGTTTGCAGAATGAACACTGTTCAAGATCCAGATATCATTGCCTTGTACCAAACAATATGCAAAAATCCAGAGTACTTGGATGTCACCAATTAGATGACATTTGTGGAGTCACCTCTTCATACTGATGCTTCGGAAGGCCGTACCGGACTTGCCCTTGTTGTACTCTTGAGGCTAAAGCCGTCGCTTGGGAAGAAATTGTACCTTGATTGTCTATGTCCACTGCACCTTGCTTTGGGTAATGGACACTCCTACACTGTGAGACGACTCGTCAAGCATGATCCGGAGCTCATTCGTGTCCAAGGGAGGGAAGGGATCACTCTTTTGCATTACGCAGTGGAAAAAGAGGAAATTGATCTTTTGATTTATTTTCTTCTCATATGTCCACAATCAATATTTGACTTGACCGTTCGAGATGAGACTGCTGTGCATATTGCTGTAAGAAACGAAAACTTAAGAGCTTTTAAGGTTTTGTTTGGTTGGGCTAGGAGGGCCGATAAGATGTCAATGATGCGATGGAGAAACCAGGAAGGAAATACCCTGATGCATCTTGCAGCATTAACAAACCAACCGAAGGTATGTTCCTTTGACTAAACCTCCATTTATTTAATTGAGAATGAATTCCCTAAAATCTCCTTCAATTAACTTTCATCAGTAGATAATTCCTTTATTAAACTTGAAACTGAACCCAACCCGACAGGGCTCGTGTGAGGTTTGTCCAAACCATTGACATTATTGAACCTAGAAATCCCAAGAAAGTACCAAAGCAAAGAACGCAAAGTTTTTATCTAGTTTCGTTCTTAGGCCCGTTTGATGTAAGATTTTTTGAGAATATATTTTATGAGAAAATGATATTAAAAAGTAGGAAAAATTATGGATGCATTTGTAAAATTATTTTATTGTGAGAATGTGTGATAGAAAATTAATTTGGAGAAAAATGAGTTTTAGAAAATGTATATCATATAAAAAATTAAAAGCCCCACAACAGATCACTTTTAGAGCCCCAAATTTTCATTGTCAAACAATCAAAATTATTTAGGTATTTGGTAAACTTGGTATAATTATAATTTTGAAAGAATACTGACTGCAGGTTCGAGAAGTTCATTCAATTACCCATCATTAAGCTATTAATTTTGATTCTTATGAATAAAATTGGTACTTGTTGAGAGTACAAATTGAATTAAACGAATTTATTGATAAAACAATTACAATCGAATATCAGCGTAAATACAATTAACAAATCTTCTCATCTAAACACGACTTTCGCCTCCTAAATTTACTAGTTTTGATGCTTCAACTAGAACAAAAAAAAAAAGCTATTTGGGAATAAGATATTTGACATACATGCCTATTTCTTTAAATCTGGGAGTATTTATAGATTTCTCTCCAAGCATTGGATAGTTTGGTCATTTTCAAGTTGTGCGAGATGGCGACACCTTATTGGTTATTTTGTAACTGATTAGTAAAATCTTGTGAGGTGTATTCCTTGGTACAATGGTACTTCCATGGTCCTTTGGTATTAAACACGTATTTGAGCTCTTGCTATTGTATAAAGTATGTTTTAATTTTCCAATTTCAAGAATTTTGATTTTTTATTAATTTTTCTGTTAAAATAACTATGTGGAATATATTTTCTTAGATAATATTTATTATGTATGTTGTTAGGATATTAATAATTAATTTTACAATACAAAGTGATCTTACTCAAATATTCAGCAAACAACTGAGGGAATAAAAGAATAACAATCAAAGGATGGCTTGAACCTCTAGCCGACTAAATAAAATAAAACATAATAAACTATAATTAAAGGATTATGAATGAAGCAGAACTGAGAACAAATATATTCATCCATTAAGCACTATGAACGAAGGGAAAAATGGAAAACCCATGTCGACGAGAGATTTCTTAAATGTTTTAAAAGAAAGACAAGTGAGCTACATATGCGTCGCATATAAATTTACGGATAAAGCTGCTTTGTTGAAAGATTTGACAGAAAGCTTACTGTAATTGCATACGAATGAAATAACTGAGAGCACACTTAAGCAACCTCCTGGAATTCGTCCCAAACATCTGTATTTATAGTTGGGGACGCTTAGATGTATGGGCCGTGTAAAACTTCTTGTTTATGGTTGCAGGTTATGAAGTCATTAATCAGGTATGTGCATGTGAATGAGAAGAACTTAGGAGGTAAGACGGCGTTGGATATCCTAGAACCTGAAAATGTAGAAGCAAGGAAAATTTTAATAAGCGCAGGAGCTAAAGAAGGTTCCTCACTTGTCGATGATGCCACCAGTTGTGAAAATTATTTGAACTCACATGCAATGATTTCAGAATATCTTCTCAGATTGGGTGCTTACATGGAGTTCGGTTTGTCAGGGGATATGCGAAACGCAATGCTAGTAGTAGTTGTGCTTGTTGCAACTGCTACGTTTCAAGCCATTCTCACTCCCCCTTCTCCGATTTCTGACAATGATACCACTCATGTTTTTCCCAGCATCACATCTGTTTATAATGATACTACTTCAGCCAATTCAACTAGCACCAACTTCAACAAAATAACCACAAGACTGACAAAATCGAGTATAATTTATAACTCAATCGCATTTGCTATTGCAATGGGAACGTGTGCAATACTTACACTTAATCGACTCCAAATATTTCTCTCGCTACCTCTTGGTCTATTTTCGGTGACCTATGTAGCATTGGCATATGGAATATACTCAGGTCCTTTTATCTATGTTGCAGTTCCGTCAATATTCATTCTGCCTTCCTTGGTGATACTTCCCTGGTTGATCATAGCGTGGAAAGGGAGAAAAAGCAGTGATTTCTACCACGAAATCAACCTTGATGAGGCGAAATTTCTCATATTTGGTATGAATCGAGGACCCATAGTGACTCGATGGCTGAAATGAAAGCATCACGATGAAGGTACTGCATCAAATGTTCTGTCATGTCTCACAATCAATATTGCAAAAAGCACATCTTAGCTCGCAATGTCTTGTTAAGAATATTTGGCCTAACTCCACCTAATAAAACCGGCTTATTAGGGGAGGATTGCCCTCACCTTATGGATCATTTACATTTTCCCAAGCAATGTGGGATTCTAATATGTCTTACTGTTTTAATTTTCATGTCTTGCTTGAGGAAGTTTTTAACTTTCGTTTGAACTGTAATCACTTAGCGTCCGTTTAAGGCTCCGTTTGCAAAAAATTATAAAAATGAGTAATGTACAATTGGTTAATACTTGTTGATCCATTAGATTGTGTGATTGAAAATGAAATTTGAACAATTTATAAATGATTTATGAATTTAGCAAATGGAGGCTGAATTGAAGGGCTTGCACTTATGGGCTATTAGCTTGAAATTTATGGATAAACCAAGTTTGTTATATTCAATGGTGGAGCCTAGATTTTTGGTTCGTGAGGCACTAAGGCAGTCAGCAGCATTAGAGTAGTTGTAAGACAGAGAGGCATCGTTTTAACTGGAAAAAAAAGCTATATACTTTAATCAAAAACTTTGTTAAGAAAAACCTAAAAGTAATTAACTGTGTATTAACCATACCTAAAATAAAAATAAAACAATAAAGAAAAGTGTAAATTAGTAAATAAGGTAGACGGAAATGTAAATAAGAACAAACACGATCTCAAGCATTTATTCGCACACGAATTAGAGCTATAATCCCTGAGGTTGAAGAACAAATCTCCAAGTTCAATTTAATTAACACATTCAGCCACCCTGAAGACAACAAAGGAATTAGTCTTCTAGGTTAAAATCCTACAATGATGGTCAAATCCAACGCTGGGGAGGAAATTGAACCTTGATGGTCATACCCAGGGACGGGTTGGGGGGGGGGGGGGGTGCAACTAATTTTTTTTAGTTTGAAAAAAAAAAATTATGTAAAAAAAAAAAAAAATCATGTGTAATTTTTTTTTACGTATTAGCTCGGCCTGTAATCCGGTTATGGATTTGTCCCTGATCATACCCCTTTGGACCTGGCTTTGCGTAATAGACACATCACCATTGTGAATCGACACGTCAGACATGATCCGGACCTTATTCGTGTCCCTGGGAGGGGAGGAATCACTCCTTTGCATTATGCAGTGGAATCAGATGACAACATCGATCTTTTGATTAGATTTCTTATCATATGCCCGTCCTCAATCAAGGACGTGACCATTCCAGTGCATATTGCAGTCAGAAACAAAAACTTAAGAGGTTTTAAGGTTTTGCTTGGTTGGGTTCGTAGAAGTGATGACACAGCAGTTTTGAGATGTAGAGATGAGGAAGGCAACAGTTCTGCATCTTGCAGCTTTGACTCATCAGCTGCAGTTATTATCTTGATTGCAGAAGTTCAAAAAGGTCATTAAAATAATTTTCTTATTCTATTGGATTTTGAAGTTTAAAATGATTGGCATATGTTAGGTGCCAAAGTCAACTAATCAATATTCATGATGATTTGAGCTGCCCTTCAAGTGAATGCTAATGCAGAAAACCTCCATCCAATTCTCCACAAAATTCGCTCTTTCCGTGTGCATCCTCTCAGCTAATGATTTTATTTTAATATTCACAAACCTTCTTCAGAGACTGATGTTCGACAAATCATGCAAGCGTATATAATCGTTGACAAGTAATAGATAAAGTGAATTGAGAGAATTGTTTCACAAGGAATAACTTTCAATTCAAGTGTACTAATTTCATATGGAATCCGAAATACGTAACACAAAAGAGTTTTGATTTGTGAATATGCTAAATTATGCTAAAATTAATGTAAAATTATGGTTTATATCAAATTATGGATGATTGTATTGGATTTAAAGTCCGCTTATTGCTATCTATTCCAAGGTTGAATTTTCCAAATTTTTGATGTAATTGGCGTTCAATTCTTGCTACGGTTTGATCCTTTCTCTCAAAATATTTCAATTAACCTCATGTTCTTGATGAATTTGATGATATGAATATGTAATTACATGTTATTTAAATAGAGAGAATATTGATCATTTTATAACTTTTTATTATAAAATAGATGATAGGATAAAACACAATCGAAGTTTCATATATGGATATTTTGTCTCCAATTCCAAAGGACGGAAGATTTTGCACAACCAATATTAAAGATAGGAGGTAGTTCGTCATTCAAACTTTAAACAACAAGAAATGTTAATCAGCTTTGTTGACAAGACAATATAGGGTCGAGGTCTAGTCTTTTGGTAATAATTACTTGACATGCCATCCTAAGTAACTAGGAAAAGCACCCAAGTGAAAACAAGATTGGGGGTTTTTGACGTCGGGCAGAATAGTGATTATTCTGCAGGCTGGATCAATTGACAAAAATAGAGAAGAACGCAAGCGAAACACAAAGAAAAACGAGAAATATCATTATTATTCAACA